ATTAGTGATTTATTACTTAATTTTCTTATTTTTATTTTGTAGATGAAAACTCGAGATTAAACGATGAATTGAAGGAATTTATGTGAGAAACGAGTTAAAGATGAAGGCAAGCGAAGAAGACAACCAAAGACGCAGCCAAAAGAAGATTTAAAAAAAAAAAATCAGCGAGCTTGGCGTCGCAACGCCCAGCTCGAACAAAAAACAGAAACTGTGGCGCCCAGGCGCCACTGTTCCAGCGCCTAAGCGCCACCCGGGACGTTTTTAATTGTTTTTAAAGTTTCAGAGACCAATGCTGTAATTTCCTTTAGGTTTTAGGTTAAAACATTCAACCAAATACAAGATTTTCATTCTAAAAAAAACTGGAGGGGCAGCTGGTTCTTCTTCTTCTTCTCTTTCTTTTTCCTTTTTCCTTTCACCTTTATTTTCTAAGATATTTTGGGGAAGATTAGAATATGGAGATGGTGCATTAGCTTGGAAAAGATGACCTATTGATAGTGGAGGATTTTCAACCATTTATCTCTTTATTAATAAGTTTTTCTTTTCACTTTTTTCATCAATGTTTTGTAAGAAATTGTTAGTTATTTGTGGATATTTCATGGGTAACTAATTATATTTTGTGATTGGGGATTATTTCAAACACGAGTTATGATTTTCAATTAATTTGTGCTTCATAATTATCTTGATTAATGTGTTTAATTCATTGTGTTAAATGTTTATATCGTTTTTCTTGATTGTTTAGGTGTACAACTAAATGGTTAAATTGTTTCGATAATGCTATTTTGGAATTAGTAGTACTTAATGGCTATTGATTCTAAAACCTAGTAGCAATTACATTTCGATAGATCATGAAGAATTTTCAATTGAATGTATGGGGATTAACACTTAAGTTTGTAAACCGAGCTTGCGAGTTTACCCTTAATTCAATTCATCTATTTTGTCGTAATGCGTTTGTTAAATTAAATCTAGAGAGCTTGTTCTAGGTTGTTTAATGAATAGGGTTGAGTAAAGAGCTTGTTTTATTCGATTAACATGTAAGAAGAGATTGAGGTAATTGAGCTTGTAATTATTCTCGAATTGTTGTTAATCTTGAGAACGAAAATCTATTGTTGTAATAGACATGAAAATCATTCTCGTGGTGACAAAATATCCCCCAATCACATTTTCTCGCATTCCATCAAGAATCACTTTGTTTATTTTAGATTTCAAGTCTTTTCTAGTTTAAATATATCGCTTTCCTTAGTTCAACAAATCAAACCCCCCCATTTAATCTATTTCGTCTATTATTATTAATTTTACTTTTTAGTGCGCAATTGACATAATTGAATCAATTCTTTGCGGGAATTGACCCTTGCCATATTACTATTTAAAACGACACATTTAAGTTAAGAAAGGAAAATTAATTGGAACGTGATATGCAACGTATCAATTTTGGTGCCGTGTCGCCGGGGATTGTTCTATCAATTTGTTAATTGCAATATTTTTCTTTTTGTTATTTTTCTATTTATTTTTGTTTTTTTTTTCTTTTTCATTTAGGTTGAGAATGAGCAAAAAGCCTAAAACACACTACAACCTAAGATCAAGAAAAGAGGTCGATACATCGGAAAGTGGAGAAGACATATCTCCAACTAGACATCTAAGGCGATTGAGTACTGAATCCTCAAGTGACTCCGAACACATAGAGCTCGAAATGGCGGATGCAAATTGGACCTTAAAGGAACTTGCAGCTCCAACTTTTGTTCAACAACCTCTATGCATTCAATATCCTCAAGTAGAGGTGGGATTTGAACTAAAGTTTAGGGTGATTCATCTACTTCCCACATTTCGTGGATTCACCGGAGAGGATCCAAATAAGCATTTGAAGGAGTTTCATGTGATTTTCTCAAGCATGAAACTTGTGGGTATATCGGAAGAGCAAGTGAAATTGCGGGCATTCTCTTTTTCTCTTGCAGACACTGCTAAGGAATGACTTTATTATTTGCCGGCCAGTCTTATTACCACGTGAAATGAAATGCAAAAGCTCTTCTTGGAGAGGTATTTCCCAGCTTCAAAGGCTACAAACATCAGAAAAGAAATCTATAGCATTCGGCAATCTCAAGGGAAAAATCTCTATCAATATTGGGAGAGATTCAAAAGGCTATGTGCTAGTTGCCCAAACCACCAAATCAGTGAGCAATTACTTCTACAATACTTCTATGAAGGATTGCTTCCGATGGAGAGAAGTATGATTGATGCGGCTAGTGGAGGAGCTTTAATGGATAAAACACCGGCAGTTGCTAGGGATTTGATAGCCAACATGGCCGCAAACTCACAACAATTTGGTAGTAGAGAAGCGGCACTGATTAAACAAGCAAGTGAGGTAGGAGCAACTTCTCAAATTGAACGATATTTAGCCGATCTTACATCGCTTGTACAACAAATGGCACTTGGGACAATGCAACAAGCAAAAATGTGCGGGATTTGTTCTATTGTGGGACATCCTATTGAGGCATGCCCGACACTACAAGAAGGAGCCTCAGAGCAAGCGAATGCCATTGGGGGATTTCCAATACAACAGAGACAAAGATATGATCCATATGCTAACACATACAATCTTGGATTTAGAGATCATCCTAATCTCAGTTATGGAGGAAATCATTTCATAGCTCCACAATCACAGTTTAATCATCTCCCGGGGTTCAATCAACAAAGGCAACCACAACTCCCTCAACCTCGTCAAAAAACTTCGCCTCAAAGTTCATAGATGTCTCTTGAGGATATGGTTAAGTCCTTGACTTCTAGTACTATACAATTTCAACAAGAGACAAAGACCTCAATCAAGAATTTGGAGACAAAAGTGAGCCAATTGGCTAACACGGTGGGTAAATTGGAGGCTCAAGGATCAGGAAAACTTCCTTCTCAAGCAATCAACCCGAGAGAAAATGCTAGTGCCGTGACACTAAGAAATGGAAATTTTTTGGAAAAGGCACCAAGGAAAATGAAAGATCAAATTGAGGAGTCAATGCAGGAGAAGAATTTAGCATGTGAAAAGATGAAGCTACGACTGCAACTGCGGGATCTAAGGTAGAATCTAAAAGTTCTATTCCTACCTATGTTCTTTCCCTTCCATTTCCTGCCAGGTTTGCAAAGTCTAAAAAGGATGAACATGAGAAAGAAATCTTGGAGACTTTTCGCAAGGTTCAAGAAAACATACCACTTTTGGATGCAATTTATCAAGTGCCTCGTTATGCAAAGTTCCTCAAGGATTTGTGCACTAACAATCATAGATTGAAAGGTAATGAAGTGGTAAGTGTAGGGGAAAATGTCTCAGCAGTCTTGTAAAAGAAACTTCCACCAAAATGTAAGGACCCTGTAAGTTTTACCATCCCATGCATTATTGGTCACACTAGGTTTGAAAAGGCAATGCTAGATTTAGGAGCATCTATTAATGTCGTGCCATATTCTATTTATGCTTCCTTAAATCTAGGATCACTTAAAGAAACCTGTGTTATTATTCAACTTGCTAATAGATCTTATGCATTTCCAAAGGGTGTGTTGGAGAATGTTTTGGTACAGGTAAATCAATTGATTTTTCCTGTAGATTTCTACGTTCTTGACATGCAAGATGAACCAACATCTTTATCACCATCGTTGCTCTTGGAAAGACCATTTATGAGGACTGCGCATACAAAGATAGATGTGCATGATGGTACATTGACAATGGAGTTTGATGGTGAGATTATTCGCTTCAACATCTTTGAAGCAATGAGGTATCCTAGTGATGTTCATGCTTGTTTTTCAATTGATATAATAGATTCATTAGTACAAAAAGTTTTTGAATTATCAAATGAAGATGCATTGGATACCACTTTGATTAAAAGCATTGATGCTATCAATCTCACCGGGTTGAGCAAGAATTTACAAGTGTGTAAGGATGTTGTTGAAACCGTGGCATCACTTGAGTCACTACCAAGTATTCCACTAAGGTATGATATCTTTTATATTACTCTTCCGATATCTAAAGAGAAACTTTTACCTTGGTGATGCAGGCCCCCACTTTGGAACTCAAACCTCTTTCCAAGCATTTGAAGTATGAATATTTGGGAGAGGGAGAAATACTACCGGTGATTATTGCAAAGAATCTCACAACACTTCAAGAAGATAGGCTTATTCGTGTGCTCAAGGAACACAAAATAGCTATTTGTTGGAAAATAGCCGATATTAATGGGATAAGCCCTTCTATGTGCATGCATCGGATATTGCTTGAAGATGGAGTAAAGCCATCAAGAGAAGCACAACGTCGCTTGAATCCTCCCATGATGGAGGTGGTAAAGAAAGAAATTTTGAAATTGCTAGACGTTGGTGTCATCTTTCCCATCTCCGATGGCAAGTGGGTAAGCCCGGTCCAAGTTGTTCCAAAAAAATCCAGAATCACAGTGGTGACGAATGAAGAGAATGAGCTTGTACCAACTCGGGTCCAAACGGGTTGGAGGGTTTGTATTGATTATAGAAAACTTAATTGTGCAACCCGTAAAGATCACTTTCATTTACCCTTTATTGATCAAATGTTGGAAAGGTTAGCAGGTCATTCTCATTATTGTTTTCCTGATGGTTATTCAGGTTATAACCAAATTGTAATTACTCCGGAGAACCAAGAAAAAAACAACATTCACTTGCCCATTTGGCACCTTTGCTTACCGGCGCATGCCCTTCGGCCTTTGCAATACTCCCGCAACCTTTCAAAGATGCATGATAAGTATATTCTTCGATTATATTGAAAGCATCATTGAGGTCTTTATGGATGATTTTAGTGTTATGGTAATACCTTTGATAGTTGCCTGGAAAATCTCACACTTGTGCTTAAGAGATGTATGGATGCTAACCTAGTACTTAATTGGGAAAAATGCCATTTTATGGTTGATCAAGGCATAGTGTTAGGCCATGTCATTTCTTCCAAGGGGATAGAAGTTGATAAATCTAAAATTGATCTAATTCGTTCTTTACTTCCTCCAACAAGTGTGAGGGAAATTCGTTCTTTTCTTGGACATGCAGGATTTTATCGAAGGTTTATTAAAGATTTTTCCAAATGTGCAAGACCAATATGCAGGTTGTTGCAAAAAGAGGTGGCATTTCACTTTGATGAAGATTGTAAAAAGGCATTCGAAAGCTTGAAGGAACTTTTGACATCGGCACCCATCATTCAACTACCAGATTGGAACTGGCCATTTGAGTTGATGTTTGATGCAAGTGACTTTGCATTGGGAGCCGTTTTAGGGCAACGAGTTGGAAGACACCTTATGTTATATATTATGCATCAAAAACTTTGAATGATGCCCAACTCAATTATTCTACAACTAAAAAAGAGCTTTTAGCAGTTATTTTTACTTTAGAGAAATTTTGTTCACATCTTATTGGCACTAAAGTAACTATTTTTTCTGATCATGCAGCTCTTAGGTACTTGCTTGCCAAGAAAGAGGCAAAACCAAAGCTCATTAAATGGATACTCCTCTTACAAGAGTTTGACCTTGAGATTAAAGATAAAAAGGGGAGTGAAAATTCTGTGACCGACCACTTGAGTCGCCTTATCCATGAGAGAGAAACTCTCCCATTGCGAGAAAGCTTCCCCGATGAACAATTGCTTCTCGTCACGAACACATCTCCTTAGTTTGGGGATATAGTGAACCATATAGTCACTAAGAAAATTCCAAGTGACTTGACCACCGCTCAAAGGCAAAAACTCAAGGCTATAGCCAAGCATTTTGTGTGGGATGAGCCGTACTTGTGGAAACATTGTTCGGATCAATTGATAAGAAGGTGCGTGCATGAAAATGAATTTCATTCAATACTTACCTTTTGTCACTCCTATGCATGTGGTGGACATGTTGGAGCAAAAAATGGCTGCTTTCAAGGTGTTTGAGAGTGGATTCTATTGGCCTACCCTATTCAAGGATGCATTCCTCTTTTGCAAATCTTGAGAACGATGTCAAAGGGTAGGTACATTGGGAGCCCGAAATCAAATGCCACAAACACCCATACTTTTTGTTGAAATTTTTTATGTTTGGGGTATTGATTTCATGGGACCTTTCCCTTTATCTTATGGTAACCTTTACATCATTCTTGTCGTTGATTATGTGTCAAAATGGGTGGAAGCATGGGCCACTCGAACTAATGATTCTAAAGTGGTTGTAGATTTTGTTAAATCCAACATTTTTGCAAGGTTTGGAATGCCAAGAGCTATTATTAGTGATGGAGGACTACATTTTTGCAACGGCTCCTTTTGGGCTCTATTGAATAGATACAATATCACCCATAAAGTGGCTACACCTTATCATCCGCAAACTAGTGGGCAAGTCGAAGTGTCTAACCGAGAGGTCAAATCCATCCTCGAAACACCGATTGGTATGTCCCTTTATCGGTTAGTTTATGGCAAGCCTTGTCATCTCCCGTTTGAACTTGGACACAAGGCATTTTGGGCAGTGAAGCAATGCAACAAGAACCTAGGTGCAGCGGGTGATCAAAGAAAGCTTCAACTCATCGAAATGATGCCTATAAAAGTTCAAGAATTTACAAGGAAAAAAACTAAGGCGTACCATAATAAAATGATTTCAAGAAAGGCTTTTGTTGTTGGACAAAAAGTTCTTCTTTTCCATTTGCGCCTTAAGTTATTTCCAGGTAAATTACGTTCTCGGTGGATTGGCCCTTTTGTTGTTACTAATGTCTTTCCTCATGGTGCAGTAGAAATCAAAATCCTTCAGACTGAGAAAGAGTTTAAGGTGAATGGGCATCGATTAAAGCCATATTTTGAACCCTTCGAATCACAAAACATGGAGGAAATGCGATTGGAGGATCCAATTGAAAAAGCATGAAAGATGACACTTATTTTTGTTTTTGTGAATTTTTGTCGCCAATGGTCCCCAACCATCATCACAGCCATCACCGTCAAGACCACTAGGGAAGTATTTGAACCTCTTGTGCTTTCAATTTCTTTTTGCTTTTACATTGAGGACAATGTGCAATTTAAGTTTGGGGGTGAGGTGGTATGTGCTAAATTCTTTGTGGAATTTTGTGGTTTGTGCTAATTTTGTTCTCACTAAAAACTTAAAAATTTGGGCTAAACATTTGTTTTTATGCTTTTTTGTGTTGTTTGATAGTTTTGCTAATTGCATTTTGAGTATTGCATTGCATTGATTTATGAATTGGGAACATGAATGTTAAGTGTTGTTTACTTTCATCCATTTATTCCCTGATTGACTCTTTATTGAGCACTTGGGTCATGAGATTCATCACATGCACTTGTTGATTGCACTTGTAGGTTGTTAACGAACTTAAATGACCATGTTATTAGAAATTCTTCAATTACTCAACCAATGAAAGGATAAGTTTGGGGGTGGTTGAACCAGTGAAAGAAATTATTTAGAATTGTATTAATTCCCGACTCAATGATTGATTTTGTGGAATGTTCTTAAACTTCAAATGAAAGTTAGATGTTGTTTTCCATCTATTGATATTTCAAAAAAAAAAATTCTGTAGGAAAAAGTTGCTTACCCTAAGGAATGTGAGTCAGCATTGAGTAATCTGACCCTATACATCACCAATGTGTAGGAGACGATCTACGAATGAAGAAGGCTACCCTTAGGGACCAGAGCGAGAACTACCTACATTGGAAAAATGAAGAAAAATAAAAGGTATGCTATAACCATTTAGGGGTGATTTTGTTGAAGAATTGATGGATTGTGAGTAATTTACCTAACATGAGGTGTGGTCGAAGCACTCAAAATTTTTGATGAATTAATACATGACTAGATGATCTTTTTTTTCGGTTCAAACTAACCGAATTTGAGAGGGAAAGATTGAGTGATTTGAGGGCAACCTTAAGTTTTTGATACCTTGGGTTAGAGTGAAAATATCAAGTTTGGGGGAGTGTGCATCCCACGAGTGAGAAAGGAAAGTTTGACCATTGAAGGTTGGGAAAATCACCAACTTGTGCATTGCAATGAATTGGAATGACCACACACACACACGAGTCAAGCATGGTGTAAATTTAAAAGTGTTTGTTGTAGCATTTTTGTAAATATTTCATAAGTTATTTGCATAATGAAAGAATTGTAGCAAAGTGGCAAAATACCGAACAATTGGAGTGTTTGTTATTATTATAGTATTATCGTTTGGTTTTAATTTGCGTGTTTGTATGCTTGTTTGTATTGCTATGTTCTAGGACTAACAAAGATTTAAGTTTGGGTGTGTGATAAATGCGGTTTATTGCGTTTATTCGGACTATTAAACTTAGATATTTGCGAGTTTTATTAGCGATTTATTACTTAATTTTCTTATTTCTATTTTGTAGGTGAAAACTCGAGATTAAGTTCCAAGGACCAATGCTGCAATTTCCTTTAGGTTTTAGGTTAAAACATTCAACCAAACACAAGATTTTCATTCTAAAAAAAAAAAACTAGAGGGGCAGCTGGTTCTTCTTCTTGTTTTCTTTCTTTTTTCCTTTCACCTTTATTTTCTAAGATATTTTAGGGAAGGTTGGAATATGGGGATGGTGCATTAGTTTGGAGAAGATGACCCATTGATATTGAAGGATTTTCAACCATTTCTCTCTTTATCAATAAGTTTTTCTTATCACTTTTTCTATCAATATTTTGTAAAAAATTGTTAGTTATTTGTGGATATTTCATGGGTAACTAATTATATTTTATGATTGGGGATTATTTCAAACACGAGTTATAATTTTCAATTAATTTGTGCTTTGTAATTCTCTTGATTAATGTGTTTAATCCATTGTGTTAAATGTTTATTTGTTCTTCTTGATTGTTTAGGTGTACAACTAAATGGTTAAGTTGTTTCGATAATGCTATTTTGGAATTAGTAGTACGTAATAGCTATTGATTCTAAAACCTAGTAGCAATTACATTTCGATAGATTATGAAGAATTTTCAATTGAATGTATGTGGATTAACACTTAAGTTTGTAAATCGAGCTTGTGAGTTTACCCTTAATTCAATTCATCTCTTTTGTCATAATGCGTTTGTTAAATTAAA